TTGGTAACTCTCCTTACCGCCATTGTTTACACACTCCGTATTCTTGTAAAATTCGTCACGCGCAGGTGTAGAAGACAAGTCAGGTCAGAAATTATTAGAAGAAAGCGGCGGGTGCAGGGGAAGAGGGGAAACGGACAAACGACGAACATGTAAGTAAGCAGTGTGAAGGTGTTAGTTGATGGCGGAGGACGTGGTAATGGCTGGTGAGATGAGGGCGTCAGAGATGGGTTTCAGAGGGATGCAGTCTAGTAGTGTGCAGATTGATTGCTTGTTTTACTTGCCTTGGTAAAACGCCTCGAGGACGCAAATGAGACGGCTGTACGGAACGCTGATCTCGCCAAACCACTGCAGGTGGAAGCCTACGGCATAGGCGGCAGGTCAGAGTAAATAGCTGCTTCGACTTAAAAGGACTAATTAGTGAGTTGGAGCTTCCTTAGAAAATTTAAAGGTTGTTTGTTTTGTCTTTCTGTCATCCGCATTTAATTAGGCAAATCTGACACCAGCACAAAGCAATGCTTTCTCGAACACATTTAGATATGATCTAATTATACACGTGCATGTAATTACAAAAGTGCTCTTTGCAGTGAAGAATAAGCGATTGTTAAAATATTTAATTTAGCTGACTGTCAACAAGTATTCATCTTTATTGATGTAATGGTGAAAAGTTAGAAAATAGTCATTATTCATGCCAACAAAATAAACAATTTACAAATTTGCAAGAACGAGTCAACCAAAGTTCTCGAAAATCAATTGGAGTGGAGCTCATATTGTCATCATTATCTACCCATCCTCTTAGCATTAACTTCTCTTTCCGTCTTAGCCTACCGAAATACTATACTAATGCTGTCCACCAAGGTCATTGTGATGATGAACTGGCCCACTGGCTCATCTCTTTATGTGGTAGTGCGTTTCTCCAGTGTTAGTTTGCTGATATTACTACCGAATCAGGGCGATCAAGTCCTCAAGCGTAAGTTTATTTTCTTTTTCGCGGCTCCGGATGTCGAAAATGGGACGTTTATATGTCTGCACACATCCATGAAGTTGGTTCCTTGTTGATGGATGAATATACAAGGCGTACCGGCAATTGAATATTTTTGTGACCCTTCAGTATATTTTGAAGACCAACTGTATTTGTTTTCTTTAGAAGTATGGTGTTGGGAATGTGTTCGCATCCTCAGGAAATGGTTGAACCCGCCAACTCCAAACATGTCTGAACCACCTCAGGACAGTTACGCCTTCTGCGAGAATTGGTGTCTTCGTGACTGCTGATGCGTCGCTTCTGGAGTTTTTGGAGCTTTTCATGAAAATTGTTTCCTCTGTTTGTAGTATTCGGCGTTGCGATTCGGCTATTGCTGTGGTAGAACGCTTAGGTTCTGTCACTGCTTGAAGGGCAATTTTACTGTTGAGTTGGTTCAAGTGAACAGTGGGGTTACCGTTCTACCTATGTGAGTGTTTTTCTCCTTCCCTGATTTCAACCGCCTTTCTAACTAATATTGTACTGGTAAGAAACGGCTTCCACGCTCTTCATCATAACCGTTTGTTTGTCACGTCACACACATGTGTGGCATGTGTTCCTTAGCAGCTTACGATGACCGGGGATGTGCCAAGTTATGTGTGGCAAAGGGTTGTTTTATTTAAAATAATAAAACTTATACAGATCAATTGTATTTTGTGGTTTGTTGTACAGGAATTGAATCGGTTCTAGCAATTAGTCATAATTGGTGCATTTATTTAAACGATACTGTGACTGGGGTGTTGTGATGGATTTTTCCTGTCAGACGGGCAGATCTTAGATGTGAGTGCATTAAATGGTGCTAGGGCAGCCGCTATCCTAAGTGTCGCCTTTGGCTTCCTTTGGTAGGGAGTTACTGGAACTCGGATCCCGTTCGGTGAATTAGTAATCTGTTTGACCACATTGCAACTGGTGGCGCATTAGACATGCGAAAATAAATGGTCTTGGGTTTAGTCATTGGGAAGTGTTGAGTCCTGCCCTACGATATTTGAGGCTCCAGCTTCACGACTACCTGGCTGAACATGATTTCATGAGTCTAATTTAGAACCTCAGTCTTCATATCGATGTGCATTCACACTCACACGCAAACAGCCGTGCACACACCACTCAAGGCATATCCAAGCACACTAACACACACACACACACA